GGAATTTGTTTTATATTTTTGTTAAATTAGTTTGTTTTTTTCTTGGAAAGACTGCATCTCTTATGTCAATTCTTTATTATTACTGTAAATGTGGTCATACATCTACAAAAAAAAAATAAAAATAAAAAAAAAAAAATAATAATAATATGGACCATGTAAAACAATGCGATAATTTGTAGTTGTTATGCAAATTAATGTCGGAAATCGTATATCGTGGGAATTAAAAAAGAAATTTATTGTTTGACGGTAACAAACTGTTGATTAGGCCAACGGGAGAATAAATAATAATACATACTCTTGATTAAAAACGCGCATGTCCAATGTAGAAGGGGAGAATATTACAGTTGTGTCTGTCGCAACACTGATGTCTGTATCCTTCTCTGTGCTGTAATATTATGCTGCCTCATCCAACTGTTTTTTTTTTCGCATAGGAACTTCTAGGTTGTAAATAATAGGAACACGTGCTTCCCAACTCCCACACCCACATACACACATTAACCCTGGTGTTTCTGTTAAGTATTTCCTAATTCTTGGACAGATTTTTCTGTTAAATTTTATTGCTAATAATGCATCATCTGGCTTGACAATATTATATTGTATAATATACTGTCAAGGAGAGTGTCATAACCATTAGACCACGAAGGCTTCATGGTTGAACAGATCCAAATACCCGTCGGGAACATTGTATTACACAATACTATGCCTCAAGAGGGCGTTCGGCCAGATAAATCTGGAAATACGGCTAGAAATGCTGTCGTATATTATATATGATATTGTCGCGGGATCCTCCATTTTCAACAAAACTTTTATTCTTTCCTTCTTCCCAATTACTCTGGCCATCTCTAGGTGGCGCTATACCATTTCTCAACAGAACCCCCGGGGCCCTCCAGCGAGTTCCACCGAGCGTTAATGAGTGCGACAAGAATAGTATTGAGTATTAATACAGTATATGGAACCCTGGTTGAATAAGAGCGTGTGAACGCCACCCCTAAACAAAGCCGCCTGTGTGCAATTTATGCTCTCTCAGGGTAGCTAATCCTGAAAATGCAATTACACCGACTGTACTGGAATTTATGAATGTAAATATTATAGTGTCACTTATCAACATGCCACCACCATTCCTAACAAAGGTAAAATGGTTTATCCCAAAATATGAAAATACATATAAAGTTGAAACTGCTATAAACTACAATAACACGAAATTACTTAATCATTGCTGGATCCAAATCAACGAAAAATTTCAAAACCGTGTTAACAAAAATCTGTTAAACCTCTGAGCATGACATTACTGTCTGTCTTCTGTGATTGATCATAATATAGTAAACAGGTTCCTCCCCCTTTGAGTGCAGAGAAAACCTTTGCTATTCAAAGTTTTACATGCTCATCTACAATACCTGTACCCCATAACGTTGACATAGGCCTCAGGTTACCTCCTGCCTATGTGTATATAGTAGTAACTTAAATATTACCTGCTGTATCCTATATTAACTCAGCTGGGTACACTACTCTACTTTATACTGTATGCACTCATATAGGTAGAACCGGTGCTCATCTAGCACACAGAGTAATACATGAGATTATAAAGACACTTTACAAAATCATTACAATTCTTCATCCCAACTGTATGAAAAATGCCTGATAAATAGGAAGGCAATACATTAGAATGAACTGTTTCTTATTCGCTATACCCAAAAATGTGCGCGCAAATGTCTGCCATATACTAGAAAGGCCGGGGTATATGTGGTACTGTCCAAGCATGGACTGGTATTGTGAGCAAATTGGGTGCAGGGGAGGTATCGGTCCCACACATTGTGGACCCTATCTAATTGCTTTGAGAGAGATGCTAGAATAAAGGACATACACCGTTGTTTGCCCGTTACATTGCGGATGGTAAGATGTCGTTTGTGTCTTCTTTGTGTTCATGAGTTGACACGTAGCCTTCACTATGCTTGAAAGAAAATTGGCTCCCCTATCTGAGTGCAGAAATTGTGGGGCACCATGGCGACAAACAATATCTTGCAAAAAGGCCTTGGCAATTGTATCCGCCTTGATATCCACAACTGGGACCAGTTTATTTAACTCGCTTTTCACACTATGAAAAAGTCGTTCTGCACCTCCGTAACTCCCTGGATGCTTAGGATCATAGTACGCTTTTCTCAATTTCTCATCCATTCCGTACACTCTCAAATTAAACAAGACAACTAAATCGAAGACAATAACCGTTTTTAAATTTTCTTCAAATACTATATTTTAATTAATACAAAACAATTCACCAAACAATTTCCTTCTTTTTAATAATGTGAAAGTTTAATACATTACAAAAATTACGATTTTAATAAAATGAATGAAATTATTAAATAATGAACACACAATAATTACAAATTTTTAACAGTAATAAAAGTATTATTAATAAAAACGAATAAATAATATTTTAAAACTTGAATAATTAAACATCTCAAAAGCGATGTTAAAAGCATGAATTTGCTTAACAACACAAAATACTGGAAATATTTATGATGGACATGTCCATGCATTTAAAAGTTTTTCAAACAAATGAATATCGGCTTGAATTAAAAGTAAAAAGTGAAAGCAAAAATTCTTCTATGTAGTCTCCAAAATTTCTTTCGCCATCATCTCAGCATGTTTATCTTGCTCGTTTTCTTCATTAAATACACTGTCCTCGTATGAGTCATCGGGATTCGTCGCCAGGTAATTATAGGTTCGTTGTAAGACGTTATGTCGATAGAGGGAAGCTCATCCTCACTGCTGCTGCTGCTACTAATAATGATTGGTTCATCGTTGTAAGAAAGTCGGGTAGCCATGGTTGATAAAGCAACCATGTTTTTTCTCTAAAAACATTACCATGGTTTTTCCCATGGACTCAAAATGTTCATTATCATAGCAATTATAGCATAGTCACTATATCTTTTATATCGTATTATTAATACGATAAAACTAACACATTAAACACTGTATTTATCTGTATACAGTAACATTAAACTGCTCATAAAGGTCTATAATTTTTACTGGACCTTTGACCTACGTCTTCATACCAGTTTGCCTTAACAATCTTTCAATAAATTCAAAGTAATATCAATGAATCTCTGTTATAAACTTTCTCTAGGCCTAGGCTATAACATGGCCTAAATCTAAAATATCGTTAATTTAACTGACGAAAATGATCAGTAACTCGTCGTTAGGGAAACCATCAAAAAACCTCTACGCCGAGAGGGCGCAATTCCAAAGTTTATACCCAGGTATAAAGCGCACAGTCACAATTATGTAATGTTATAATAACATATTTATACAAATGAATGTCAAATGCAGAAACTACAAAGTTAATATACTGATGTATACTACATCTAATAACTTAAGTTCAGTCTGAACTCAGAGGTAACAATTGACAATTGAT